TAAAAATTAAATAGAATTGCATTTTTTAGTCTTCATGAAAAGATATAAATTAGATTAATTCAATATATATTAATATATATTACATCAGCTTTTTGTTAGTTTGACATTTAAGATAAAACTATATATATACATATATATAATTTTGAATAATATATAATTATATTCATGTTTATATTCATATCAATGTTCTTAAAGTTTAACACTTTAATATTTGATGTATATGTATATCATAATATATATATATATATATATATATTTCTGTTTATTTTTATTTATTTATTATTATACAAAATTATTTAAATAACATACAATTAAATTTTATAAAGTATATTTAAAAGATTTAAGATTTTTAAATTATTTTATTTTTCAGATAACTTACGAAATGAGATCAAAGAAGGCTCTAATACTCAGGTCTCAACTGCTTTGCCACAACCACGCAGTGATTCATATGTTATTTCTGCAGAAAAATATTTTCTGCCATTTGAATTGGCTTGTCAGAGCAAGTCACCAAGAATTGTGGTTACTGCTCTAGATTGTTTGCAAAAATTAATTGCATATGGACATCTTACAGGAAATATACCTGATTCTACAGAGCCAAATAAATTATTGATTGTTCGCATTGTTGAGACAATATGCGGATGTTTCATGGGGCCACAAACAGATGAAGGAGTTCAATTGCAGATTATAAAAGCTCTTCTTACAGTAATGACCAGTCAACATGTAGAAGTTCATGAAGGTACTGTTTTGCTTACTATACGTACAGTGTACAGTGTTTACTTGGCTTCAAGGAACCTAGTAAATCAAACTACTGCTCGAGCTACACTCACTCAGATGATTAATGTTATTTTTGCACGTATGGAGACGCAGGCAGTAAGTTTATCAATTAATTAATATATAAAACTATTTAAATTTTCATAAAAACAATTTTGATTTTTATATTCTAGGAGGAAGAGATAGTTCGAACTGAGGTAGAATCTGAAACAAGCAACATGAATTCTACTAATTGTAATTCCGGTGGTGATATCGAAACTGAAGTAGTGAATCATGAAGAATCATCAATGGAGAATAATCAAGAACCACAATTGATAGTTCGAGGAATTTTGGAAGATGTTGTAAATTCTATTATTCCTGAAGATTCAACAAATACAACAATAATAACATCAGAAGAAGCCAGTTTAGATCAAGTGCCTATAGATGAAAATTCTGATGAAACTGTTGCAGAGAATGACAATATGGTTCGAGCAAAATTCACGCATGTATTGCAAAAAGATGCTTTCTTGGTTTTTAGAGCACTTTGCAAACTTTCAATGAAACCACTTCCCGATGGCACTCCAGATCCCAAGTATGAAAAATGTTTTAATTAACAGGGTATTTTAGTATTAGTATAGAAAAATATTTTCGAGAACTAATAATTTTTTTTTAAAATATATTTTTTATAATATATTCTTTCTAGGTCTCATCAATTAAGATCAAAGATTCTTTCTTTGCAATTGCTTCTTGGTATATTGCAAAATGCTGGGCCAGTATTGCGTTCTAATGAAATGTTTGTTATAGCCATAAAACAATATCTCTGTGTGGCATTGTCGAAAAACGGTGTCTCTTCTGTTCCTGAAGTATTTGAGTTATCTCTGGCATTGTTCCTTGCACTACTGGCTCGTTTCAAAGTGCACTTAAAGATGCAGATAGAAGTTTTTTTTAAAGAAATTTTCATGAATATTCTCGAGACTTCCAGTAGTTCCTTTGAACACAAATGGATGGTAATTCATGCTTTGACTCGCATTTGTGCGGACGCACAGAGTGTTGTAGATATATATGTAAACTACGATTGCGATTTGTCAGCTGCGAATCTATTTGAAAGGTTTGTAAAAAAGTATCCATAATTTCATTAAATAATTAAATTGCATTTATTATTATTATTTTTTTTTTATTCATTATTATAGACTTGTGAAT